CGTTTAAGAACAAGAAAGTAACTTTGAGCATTTACTGTAATATTATTTTAACGTGATTACAAATATCAGTTTATTTAAAATGTTAATGTTGACTTTCTTACATTATTAGTTGATATTGTTTATTTAAAATATTAGTGTTTATTTTTATTTTATTGATTGATAATACTAATACCAAAAATGTGTAATTATTTTTTTTAATGTGACGTGTCTTCATTATTATTACCTGCTTTGAGGCTGCAGTTATAAATTATTTTTTATAAATCCGAATTTTTGCCTATATTTAATGTATAAAAAATGTGAATTTCACTCGAAATCCATAAACCATATCGAAAGAGCAAAAAAGAGCATGTTTTTAAAAATATAAATTCTGTCGTCATTGGCATACACACAAAAAAGTTATGGGATAGCCAGTGGCGCACAGGCACTAGAAATCGAACATCCTGTATATGTATTCTCTCCAAATTCTATATTTACCTTGCCCTTATATAAAAAAATAAGTGTACCAAATTTGAGGTTTCTAAGAAAAATAGTTTTCAAATGATTTGAAAAAAATAGATTATCTATTCTATATTTAGAAGGCTATATCTCAGTAGGCGAGCACTTTTGTGTATAGGTAAGTTAGGCTAAATAGTCTTATTTTCATCCAAGGAACCTGTGGTCAAGCGTTATCCGTCCTTTTCAGGGACACCCTGTATGTCGATGCAATGAAACATAATCAACTATTCATTTAGTAATTACAAACCTATTAACTGTTAGTTAACAGTATATGCCTGTATAATACCTTCGTGTTACATACGAGTATAGAATGTATATGCTTTTCAAAATTCGCAGTACTTTTCTTGAATTCAACTAACAATCATTAGTTTAATGTAAAAAATTCTGTTGATTTTTTTAATCAAATACAATTACATACGTTTTCATAACTGAAATTAAATGCAAACAGAAAAATTAAAGAAAGCACAAAACTTCATTATTTTAACTTCGTTTCTATTAAAAATAGAATTTAACTTTGATCTATAAATTGCAAATCGATAGTTATAAAAAAATTAAGTACGCTATTGCATTCTAACTAACGAATAAGATAAAGTTCAACATTCTCTTTTGCTATATTTTCAAAACTAAAAAACATGTCGAAAATCTGTTTTGACCTGAAACAAACTACAATCTTTAATAATAACCGAAATAGCGTAATGTGACATTGAAAATGGTAAGCACTGTATAAGCGTTTATATTTTTCGCATCAAATAGTTATAATTTTCCACTGTGGAACATCTGCAAGTCCTGGAAACGTATGTAATTTTTTTCATTGTGAAGGTACCTAGACTTGATATAAAACTGTATAAAATATCATTGAGAACAATGAACCATTTCGACAAGCCAAAAACCAACATCCAAACCAACGCACCCTCATTAAATATCTAACAGTGAGAAGCGGATATCATTGCTCTATGATCAAAAACACAAGCCCTGACAAAGATCACAATTTGTAACTACCATCTTCACTTCGGACAGCGAGCTGATGCTCAACACGTACATGGTGACTCCAACGACCACGGGGGGACCTGAAATCACCATTACCACGTCAACGTAGCATTGGGCATTGCTCTGAGTGCCTCAAGGACCGCGGTTTAGCGGAACTCTGGCAACGTCGCGGAAAACTGGGATACCGGGATTTTTAATTTGCCTCCACCATCGCACCCCGACAATTTTTACTGCTTGGACCTTTGTTTGAGGAGATACGGATGAGCAGGCAGATTAAAAATCTCCTCTGCCTCTATCGTGTAAAGCAGCCACTGGTTTATGATTTTACATTGTTTTAATTTGAAAAAGTGAGGAATTTTAAATTGCATCTAAATAGTTCGGAAATTAATTGAATTCGAAATTTACGGATTGATTTTGGGAAACTGCATATTGAATAAGGCCACATCAAAAAGTTTATAAGAAATTTGAAAAGAAAAATATGTAAAATTATGCTAGTCGGAAATAAGTAAAATAACTGATTTTTTTATATTTGAACTAAGTCAAGTAGTAACAAAATTCCTTCTTGAATATACAGAGTGTTTAAAAAAAGCATAACAAATTATAAAAATAAAGAATATCCGAAAAAATAAGACAAAATAAGTCTAGAAACGTTTCGGTCCCCACATACAGGTTGTTTAGTTTAAAAGTTACACGTTCTTGATTGTAGAAATCACCAAATAAACAAAATGTTGGAAACATACAGAAAAACGAGAATATTATTATTTATTTTGTGTTACCGCTTTAATTCAAAATCGCAGAACTTCAAAAGAAATACTTATTATCAATTTTTTTGCCTTATTCAATATGTTATGGTATCTACAGGGTGTTCCATCCAAGAGGGATTCTTCTGTACCTCTGCAACTGTAAAATGATAAAAAAATGGTTTTAATAAAAGTTGTCTGGAATCATGTGAGCCATGTAAAGAAAATTTTTAGCTTTACAGGCTGTTCCATTTCGCGTGGACGCTACATAACTTTGTTATTTTAAATGGAATGAAATAAATTTTACAGTTACAGAGTTACAGAAGAATCGCTCTTAGGTGGAAGACCCTGTATAATAAGAATATTTATTTCAAATAATGACTTTCTATGAAGTACTAATTCTGTTGGTATGAATTCATGTTTTATCTGTCTTTCCCGCCAAGTCATATCACACCGACGATATAACTAATTACCAAATTAGATTCGGTGTTACGGGATCTGTAATTACAGGCTCTGTCGCGGGTCAATTTTTATTTAAGCATGTTAAGAATGCCATATTTAATTATAGACACGAAAAAGAAACAGCAATTAGTCGAACCGAACGTTTTATTAAGCTCATAAACACAATTACATTAACAAATTGGCAAGGATTTAACCTGTCACCTACTAAATGGTTGCCGAACGAACTTTTTAAAGGAATTCATTGTTGCCGTGAAAATAATTATTTTCAAGGTTATGTGGTGAAAGAGAACAAAAGCCACGGCATATTCTGGAAAGTGGCAACAAATTCTATTTGTAATGTAAATTATTTCCACTAGTATTTATAGAGTTTCGTTTGCGGTATCGATCCTAGCGAAAGAAACGGCTTTTGTGAGCCAGCTATTATATTGGCAAAGTTCTGTAAACAGGATTTGTATTATGTAAATACAATTTTGCTTAATTAATTTATCGATCTGACGTTAGTAAGTAATAGATTTATGGGTTAGACCTATACCGAAACTAATTCTGCTGAACTGTCAGTAAATGCTGTTTGAAGGCAGTAAATTCTTGTAAAAGCTCTGCAGAGGAAGTTCATTTCATGGAGTACCCTTTGCATCGTACGTGATGTAGTAGTATAAAACCTCATAGTACTAGAATAAAGTGGCTAATGAATAGTTCTATTATGATATTTCTGTCTCCACTGATAGTCCAGGGACCGAAGAGAAAAATAGGGTAAAACCTCCGAATAGTTTCGGATAGATCCGATTTTTATGAAAATTTGGAATTAAGCTGATTTCACCCTGTAGATGAAAAGTTATATATGCTTGATATGCGCTTCTTATTTCTAGGGGATGAAAACCACCCCTTATACTAAAAAACCGAATAAATATAAAAATAGGTGATATACAGGGTGTCCCATAAGCACATGATCAAAAAGGTACTGCGACATTGTTTGGCTCAAAAGAAGACGATTTGACCTAACTTTAATTAAGAAAAAATGTCTGGTTCCTCTGCTATTGACTGTCAAAGTTCTTGAAAAAAAAAATATGTTTTTTGTAATATCTGGAGAATGTTACGATGGATTTTAATGAAACTTGCTGTGGACCTGTTCCTAAGTAAAACTCATGTTTTGATAAAGCAACCGCGTCTATCTGCCTTGGGCTAACGGTAAATTCTTGAGTGTCTTGGTACAAGAATTACCAGAACTTTTTGTTTGGTCGCTGGAATTAATTCCTTTCATTTTTATTGATGCATCAGTCCTTTTTCGAGATTTTCGTGCTCTTGGTAAAATCTTGTAGCATTGGTATGCTCCGAAAATTGAAGCGGTAAGGTACCGTTGTTTTTTTAAGGATAACTTCCTTAATTTTAAAACTATTAAGACGATCCAAAAACGATTTTACGGAAAATTTCGACAGCTAAAAGTACTGTAAAATTGAATATTTTTTAACTTATTTTTTGAGATTTTTGATGTTAAAGGAGAAAAGCATGACCTTCGCCCTCAACTTCAAACTTTTTGGCGGGGCCTTTTTGTTAATTTTTATCCTACACAAATAAAAAGAAAAACTAAAATATTATGTGAAAAAAATATTGTTAAAGTTACTTTCAAAAATGTTATATTTTGGAATTAAAAAGATTTTTTTCAGTCAAAACGTAATATTTTCAAAAATATGCCATCTAAACCGATTATATTGTTAGAATATTATTGTTAGAATTATTGTTAGATTGTTGTTAGAACCGATATATTGTTAGAATATAAAAAAACTAAATTGTAGAAGGATTACCTTTAATTTTAAATCTCGTGAAAAATTCATCAGTTTTTAAACTGATTATATCAATTTGATTCATCATCGTTGGTCTTTTGATTGTAATAAAACATTCAGGTACCTTAGATCAGGCTTTTAGAATTTATTGTATTTGTTACAATCTCTAAAATAATTACTTGATAATAACTGAAGATTACAACACTTTTTACTGTTTTCATAGTTTCATAATTTTTTTCGCAGCCTTCAACAATCAAATTTTCTTTTCACCTTACTTTTCACTATTTATTCGGTATATTCCGGAGTGTTACTCCCCAGTAAAACTGGAAAATAAACAAGTATCGCCCACTTTATTCGCGTCGTGAACTAAATCGTTCCAGGAACATTTTCCATAAAATTATTTCTCGCTCTACCTTAAATATATCCAAACATGTTGCCAAGACCACTAAAAGTTTTTGCTTGTTTGCTTTATGAGGCGAATAAAATCTATAAACGTGTAATATCTGTCACGGCATTTCCTTATCGGGGGGTACAAAAATGGCAAATATTTACACTCCAATTTATGTGATTTGAGTTTGATTTCGGTAAAGGTGTGTGAGTTTGGTTTTGATTTAGGCGTTACTTGATGAATTAAGTAATATTTCAACAATAAAGAAATGTGATACACTTATCTTTTCATTTACATGATTAAATTCGAGTATTAATTTTGTGTTCAATTAGTACCTAACAGTAAAAAAAATTGTCGGTTTCACCAAAGTAAGTGAATGATATAACACAATATACGAGGCTTTTGAAAAAATAACAGAACTTCATATTTTACACTACCCTGTTTACAATATCAATCAATAGTACCCAAGAAAATACCGTTTTTTTAGTCACTTCATAATGTTGGTGAAGTAGTTTGCTGTCATTACATATTCAACATATTTTTTTATATAACTAGATGCATTTTCATTTTATAAATGAATTCTTGCCATTTTACATTTATAGGTAACTCGAAATGAATTTCCTCTGTTTATATTGTGTATTCAAGTCTATATATTCTTAATTAACGACAGCAGTAACTTTAATTTTTTACGTGGATTACGCTAAATATAACTAGAAGAATATGAAGAAAAATTTACCACAAGAATTAATACATTAGTGATGGTGTTTCTTCATTATCCATAGTGGTGCAGTGATTATAAAAAAATGCAGTGTGGAAGCTTTGTGGCTTTTGTGCTCTTTGCTTTTTTGTTCTCAGATTGAATACACCGAGATTTTTGTTTGTTATACGTGAATTGTACATAACGTATTGCTGTGGGGTCAGGTATATGTTTCTTAAAATTATAAATTTTAAGGATCAGGTGAATCAAATTAATATAGTTTTGGGTTTTCTACTTTTAAGAAACATAAATCCAATGGCTCGTCAGACACAAATTTTTAATAAATATTAAAATGCCACTTGCTTCTGAAATTTTATTCTAAACAAATTTTATTCTGAACAGCGAAATTAGAAATAGTTTGCCTTGTCTTATATGAGATTTCCTTGTTAACCTTTTTGGATAGTCGAAAGGTTTACGTAAATTCGCAACAGAATTTAGAATTTAATTCAGGAATCAACTATTGTATTATTGACTAACACTAACAAGTTACCGACTTGAAAAATTTCAGCGATTTGCCTTTAGAACAACTTTCCAGGCTTCTGAAACCCTGAAAATTGGAAAATTCGCGTGATTCCAGGCACTAATTCTTCAGTGAAAAAATTTAGCTTCTTGTAAACATGTGCTGACGAGCCGTAATTGCCGGAGGATGGTCGATTGTGTCGTGTGTTTGGCAAAAGCTTGTGTGATTTATATCGCAAAACACTGGAATAAAAAAAAAGAATGCTCACCACGTTGCACGCAGGAAGTAGATAACGCTTTTAACCCGAGATTATATCATCCCGGCAGTTTCAATTTTATTCCGCCAAGAAAGATATTACGCCGGCTTGAATTAAGTAGTAAACTCGCGGTTTAATTTTTTGGAACAGTTTCGGAACTTTTTTCATTAAAGAATTTTCTCAGTTGGTTTGACCCGACGGTTGAGTGCGACGAATGGGTTGGTTTTTTGGTATTTACG